TCAACAAAAAAAAACATTTACTACTAAATGATACTGAATACGTGATTAAAATTTCATCAGTTGATATTTCGTGGCTATTGCTAAAATTCCAAAAAAAAAATAATACAGTACAGAACCCGTTATCCGGAAATCAGAAAACCGGAACGAAATTTTATAAATTTTACCGCCATATTTGAAAAAAAAAAATTTTTTTTCCTCATAAGATTTTAGGATTTTTCTTTCTTTTTTGAAAGATGTTTACCTTACCATCGTTTTGGAAATAATCATTAGTGTATTACTCCATCGTTTTTTCTTCTTTTTAAGATTATTTCCACAAAAAAAATTTTTTTAGTTGGGTTTAACAATAAAAAAAACGGCTTTCTGTAGCGATTCAGAAAACCGGAAAAATCAGTTATCCGGAATAGCGATGGTCCCGATCGTTCCGGATAATCGGTTCCCTACTGCAATAATAATCAGCAGAATAAATAAAATTCTATAATAAGGCCCCTTCAACGGAATGACATCAAGAACTTTTCTCTTAAGAACAAAATTTAGTAGGAAAACTGATTTTATTATTTTAACGTTTTGCTTATTCCGAGAAACAATGTTTAGTAAGAGAGAAAAATCAGTACCGAGAGAAATATTTGAAGAAAAAAAAGGAATGAGCATTACAACAATTTAAATTTCTGTAACTTTGGAATTTATTCTTCTTTTAAGTATTCAACTTTCATCAATCGGAAAACAAGATACCTATACTGCATTAATTCCTCAAAAATTAACGTATTGCAAAAGATTAAATATTTTCTAGTAAAGAGACAAAACAAAAAGTGTCTCTTTGACTTACGACTCCAATTAAAGTAGAAGTGATAAATAAGAAAAATGTTAAACCAAATTTGCAGTGGATAATATTTTCGCCATCAAGGGTTGAAACGCTGATGTAACGCCATTTTAGGTGTAAAATATGAAGTGTTTAGGTCATGCGATTTTTCCTACATGTCAATAAAGTTTAAAGAGGGACCGACAAAAAACAACAAACGGAAAATAGTGCCAAAAAACGTAGCAATAAATTTGTAACTATTATTTCGGTTATTATATGCAGTAACTGAAAAAATTTCGTTAGCCTAAATTAAATATTTATGGAGATATGGACATTCTTATAAAAAACTAATTTTTTTGTCGTACGTTTTTATGATATAACTTTAAAAATATTCAATAAGATTTAACAAAATTTTTAGAGCAATTTAAAATTAATTACAAATTTTTTCTTCAAAATTTGAAGAAAAAAAAATCTATTGAAAACTGTGCAATATATAAGAAATGAAAGTACAGTACAGAACCTGTTATCCGGAAATCAGAAAACCGGAACGAAATTCGATAAATTTTCCCGCCATTTTTTAAAAAGAAAAATTTTTTTTCCTCGTAAGATTGCAGGATTTTTTGCTCTTTTTTGAAAAATGTTAACCTTACCATCATTTTGGAAATAATCATTAGTGTATTACTTCGTTTTTTTTTCTTTTTAAGATTATTTCCAAATATTTTTTTTTTAGTTGAGTTTAACAATAGAAAAACGGCTTTTTGTAGCGATTCAGAAAACCGGAAAAATCAGTTATCAGGAATAGCGATGGTCCCGATCATTCCGGATAATCGGTTCCCTACTGTAGTTTTTTTACACAGCGCATGTGCGGAAAAATTTTAACATTTTCTTTTCATAATTTTGTAGTGAATCATATCGGGCAACTAATGAAAAAAATTCGATTTGAATATTCTAAAAATTTAAAAAGTTGAAAGCAATTTTCCTTTTTTTTTTTGTACTTTTTAAAAGAAAGATCAAATGATAAGGGTTTTTCTACAAATATTATTTTGTATCAAAAGACAAAATTAAATAACAAATTATAAAACCTTGCAATAAACGTTCATACTCCACAAAATTCTGAGCAATTATTGCAAACAATAACCAAAATAATTGTTACAAGTTAAAAATTTATTGCTACATTTTTTGACACAGGTTTTGAAAAACACTATTTTCTATTTGTAATTTATTGTCGGTCCCACAAACCTTGATAAGTTTTGATATGAATGAGAAATTGCATGATCTACACACTTCTAAATTTACAAACTGATTCTCTAAGCATTTTTTGAGAAAGATCAAAAAATGTGTTAATTTAGAAGTTTTTCTATCATTTTGTTTAACTTTTAACTCCTGTATATAAACATAGATTATAAAGTGTTCCCCAGTCTGAAGATGATTCAATATCTCATTAAAATTAGTACTTGGGTCCAATATCTGTTTAATAAAATAATTAAAAAAGAATTTCAAGAACTTTAAAAAAATATTTAAAAAAATGTATTTGCTAATATTGTATAAGACAAGTTTGCAGGGTAGCCTACAAATCATACATTTAAAAATCCTGTAAATAAGAAAATTAGTGAATGTTCTCTAGCACAAAATAACTCGGAAATGCTGAAAATTACAAATTCGGGAGAATGCATAAGAAGTCTTATATATTTTTATACAATTATTGGATAGTCTTTCAGGTACAACTTTTCCAATTTTAAAATTGTAAATAAACCTTGTCCTAATATAATCAAGTGAAATAATGGAAGCAGAAAACTGAAAAGGTTTTGCCATCATTAATTTTCTTAAATTAATTTTCTTCTCTTCTTTGGATAATGAAACATAAATGTCAAATATTAAATTTAGTATTAAGCATTCATAAAGATAAAATTAAAACTAAAAAATTAAGACATAATTTAAAATTAATTTGTTATTAAGAATTCTTAAAGTCAAAGGTGGGATTTAATAAAAAGAAAAAAGTATTAACATTTAATATGGAACAAATCTCTATTATTAATTTAAAAAAATAAAGAAAGAGAAGTACATAATGGAACAAATTTTATTTATAAATAATAAAAAAAAGGAGGAAAGGTCAATTTCATTTCTAAAATAAATCTACAATATAATCAATATAACCTCAGAGTTTGCATATTTTTCTTATTTGGTACTTATTGGAATCAAGTTATATTTTTCATAATGACTGGTAACATTAAAAATGCTTTGCAAAGCTGACACTCAATTTTACAGTTGTATATTCTGTAATTTAAAAAAAATGAATGGAGGAAATGATATGATTGTGATATTAACATATAGAGGATATCTAAGAAATACTTTATGTAATATACTAATTATCTATTCTTATTAAAAGTGAAATATGATTCTGTGCCTATATAGTATTTTTAAATTATGATAATATTAATAAAATTTTCTAGTACATATTTTACACTATATAAACAAATATATATATTTTTTAAAAATTTTATTATAAAACATACTTAGAAATAAATTTTACAGAAAAAACAAATTATGTTCACAAATTAACTAAAAATAGCAGCTTTTATTTTTTTCATAAGAAGCATCCATGCATAATCTTATTATTTACTAATAAAAAAGAAAAAGAAATTACTCTAAACTGTGAATTTCAATTACATGCCTCGACTACAAATCATGTTATAACTGACTGGGATTAGGCAACAGCATGAAAATTTTTTCGATACGTAATAATACAATTATGTCTAAATGTTAATTAACAATGTATCTAACATTCACAAAAATTGTTAACTAATTGAATGAGACTTAGTTTAAAGCAAACTTATACTTAGAAAGTGACAAATGCAGTAAAGCCTCAGTCGCATTTCCTCAATTTTTTTACATTAATTATGAAATCATCAAGTAATTATTTCTGTTCTAATAAAGTTTCGACAATTATTTATGTAGCTAAATACTAGAACACATTTCAAACAGGAGTAACTTGTTAGGAAGTAAAGAGAACCACACATAATTGTATAATAAACTTTAAGCGTTGTTCAGCATTAGCGAGTATTGTTTTAGAATTGTTTCAAAAAAATATGTGTAAATATAAAATAAGCAATAAAAATTATTTTAGTTTACTTCTGTAAAAAAAAGAAAAATTAATAATTTATAGAGAATAAAACAATTTAACTTACAAGGAACTATTTTCAATACAGGATTAAAGCAATTAAAGTGCTTTAACTTTTTTTGGTTTCATCATTAATACAATAAGGTACACAGGAACATTTTCAGACCTCTAGAAACCTGTTTAAAGGCAATTATATAAAATAATTCTATGCTCTTTTATTTTTAATAAAATTTTAAGACAATGCATAATATCCCCCTCTGTAGATAATCCATACCAAAATACCACATAAAACCAAAAATGTGTTTTGTTCATCTAAAGAATCAGTGAAAAATGTAAAATTTTTGCTTGCTGATGAAAAAAAGTAAAAAAAAGGGGGGGGGGAAATATTTCAACTGGTAACATACACTTTCAGGAGAGAAATTGTCATAAATGTATCACTTTACAATGTTAATATGTTAACAAATGAAAGCTTTTCGAAAATGAATAATTTATACATATCATAGCTTATATGATTTTTTTAAAATTTATTTTTATTTAAATATTATAAATTGAAAGCATACAAATTAACAGACTTCTAATTAATAGAACTGTGATAAGAATTGTAAAACAGATTAAGTTAAAGTAATAAAGGAAAATAATCAATGATAAAGCTAAGCATATTATTTTCCTCATCTAAAGCTCATTTTAAATATAGCCCAACCACCAAGAAACAACAACAAATAAGCAAAATATTTTTTTTTTCTAAAATAAATATTCCTATCGTTTGCAAGACTAACGCAATCTAAACAAACAACTCGCTAAACAAAAGGGGGAAAACATGATTACCCCACGTTTTGACCACCATAAATTGTTACACAAAAGAGGGATAAATTAATACTTGTTGAATCATCGTACTCTGAAAAATAATGTTTCAGTAAAAATTTTAGTGGATTCAATAATTCGTAAACAACACAGGTGAATAACAAATTTTAAGGCGAACACTTATAATTTGAATAAAATGTCTATTGTTGAAAGTACTATCGGCATTTCTACTTCTGGAGTTACAGTCAAGTTGAAATATTAAGAAGTTAAAAAGCTATTCCTTACCTGTAGAAAATAACACTAAAAATGATATTAATCCAAAGGAGAAATGCATTTTTCTATGAGGCTAAAAATTCATAAGTTAACACAAAATAACAAACATATTTAAATCAACAAATTTTTCGCTTTATTTGTTTACATCGTTAAGACGTCATCTTCATATGGCATAATCCCTTGGCCAACTTACTTGACTGCTTTTCTTCGAACTAGCAGAGGGAAAAGAGGGAATTTGAAGTTTCGGTATTATAAAGAAATGTTAAAAAGATTTCACGCATGCTGCCATCTAGTGTAAAAGAACTTAATCTTGAAATTCTGCTTTACCCTCCTTCCTCATAGTCTCGTATTAGGTTTAAGTCTGAGACCGATGATTTTTCAATTTCATTTTACGCATTTTAATTTAATTTTTTAGTAATATTATAACTGTAACATTTAAAAGTTTGCGTGAATTTTATAGAAAAAAATTCATAAAATAGGATTCGGCTATTCAATTTTTCGTATGAGATAGATAATATCTTTTTTCTTAAGACTTGCAAGAAAATTATTCTTTAACTTTTTAAAAAAAATTTGCAGTGATTTAAATGAATTTTTTAAACGAATAAATATGTTTTATTAAATTGAGGGTATTTTTTAGAAAATATATGTATGGATGGAAGGATGACGCTATCGATTGAAAGAGAGTGTTTTTCATTCACATCACGTGTTTAATTTGCCGGAATGGGGAACAATAGTTTTGAGTAACATTTTTACGAATACTACTATTATTTTCTTATAGTAGTATTCGTAGTATTTTCTTATTTGTTTTTTAGTTAAAGGATGAGTGAAAATCCGAAATTTAAAATAATATACTTGTTAAAAATAAATTCAGTAAAGATTGCAAAAATTTTGAGGAAGAAAAAAAAAACTTTTGCAACTTATTTCTTTCAAATTTTGAAATTAGACCTTTAAAATAAGCGACAGATACGGATGTAAAAATTTTCTATGGTTTTATTCAAAGCTTTTATTCGATAATTAGTAAATTAAATCATAAAATGTAAGAAAATAATTGGGAAAGTCAGTATTTCATGCTATTTTCTTCATCATATTGTAAATAGGCAAAATGGTTTTTTTTCTTTCCTTTTTTTGTTGTTGATTAGCGTAGTTAATTTCTGAGTAATGATAAGGGCCTGATCTGAAAATACCAGGCCAACCGCTGGAGGACCCCTCCATACCTTATGATAAATCAGGCCCGCCTTATAACAATGCGTTATAAATTCACATAAAAAAAATAACAATGGTTAACTTTCAAATAGCTACATTTTGCTCGTTTCTACATTACTTATAAAGTTTTCTACATTACTTATAAAGTTTTGCTATCATACTAAGCAAAATATGTTTTTATAAGTACATTCCATCAAAATAAAAATTAGTTGTGCTCAATATCATTTTGCATAATGCTGTTGCTCCGGGACAACTTCACTTCTGATAGTCAAAAAACACCATGCAATGTTCTCTAGTAGTCATCCCTTTCAGTGTGCCGTAAAAATGTATTTTCACAGTACCTACAGTTGGTATCTTGGTACCAATATTAGTATATTTAGTATTTTTTTAGATCATGAATTAACCAGTAAGAATTACCAGAGTCAGTAGTACCTATTACTAACATTAATTTATCATCATTGGTGTCAATAAATAATTAAGTGATTCTTTATGATTTTCCTATATGAATTAGTACATTTTTACCAAGCTTTTTTTGTATAAAACTTTTTTTTTTAAATTTTTATTTGTTCCAATTACTAAATTATTTAAGCATTACTGGCGACAAAAACAATATGTCAATTTTTTATATACGAATAAGCAACTTTTTTTCCATCAATTTACAAAACTAAAAATATATGTATATATATATATATCAGTATTACTTTTGTTAATCACCAAAAATAATAAGGAGTAATTTTCGAATATAATTATTAACGACACTAATAATTTAATAATCATTTTTGGCGATCGAAGTATGATCGAAGATCTTATTTCGAAGCAGTAAAAAATTGCCTAACTAATATTGACGCAAGTGATTCTTTATTAAATGTGGTATTAAATACTACGTTTCTAGTATTGCAGTTTCAAGTACTGTGATAATAAGAACTTATTATATCAAAACAGGCGTTTAATGTTGATAATGTGGCAATAAGTTTTTTACCATCTGCTGAAATTGATAAAGTACCCTAATATCACCAAACTACACATTCATGGCACCTACTGCGCAACCTTTATATTTTTATTATTTAGTGTTTTTTTTTAAATATTTTTTTATGCGACTTCATACCTTTAGATTTATCATAATAGGAGTTAGAAGTTTAACTCATCAAAATAAATATTAACTATTCATATAGCGTATCATTTAAAATGCGATATCCAGAATAATGCCCATGGCTTAATAGAAAACTTGATATAGTACTTGCTTTTGCTGAGTTTCCATTATTTAAGTTTATTAAAACATGCTTTTTGAACGAGTAAGCATTAATATAAGAAACAGATAGTTTCTTAAACCTTTTAAAATATGAATTTGGGGATGAAATTATTAATGTTGATTTTATTTGTTATAATTTACCGTAGGAAACCAAAGATAAAAAATTCATAAAAACGTGGGATAAAACTAAATTATAATTTTTTATTAGAGCCGTAAGCTAGCAAATTACGCATGCAATATATATATATATATATATATATA